GCGATAAGTGTCCAGACACTTTACCAGGTATAAAGGTCTTTGCAAATAGTTTATTTCATGCATTCGTTGGACTGTCTCATACATTTTTTTTTGTCACAGAATGTAATTTGCTTTTCACTGGCGAGACAGCGGACAGCACCTTAACTTTTATTCCCTCAACCGGTGTTACTCAAAAGACCATCAACCTACCTGTTAACAACTCATGTAGCTTTTACTTTGGGGAGACAATCTATGCACATTACATTGGTTGCGACGGAGCCTGGAGGGAGATCCCACCAAACAGTGTAAATGAGAGTTTAGAGGTTACTGCTGGTTGGAACAAAAACCAGCTTCAGTTCAAGGTATAAGTATTGGTAGTCGCATGAGACTGCAGCTTTTAGTTAGGTTAAATGATAATGTGTTGTGACGTCTTACTGTAGATATGGAGAGTTTTCACATGACGTCACACCCACGCCATATTGGTGTAGTAAAGTAATAAATCAATGGCCTTGTTCTTTTTCCAAACCAATATTCTGGGATTGAAACTGTTATTTTTATGTTAAAACTTTCCTTTTTTCCAATAAATTGGCATAGCTGCTACTGACCACGTGAGTGAAATCACTCTATACAGTTGCAACGCCATACAACCAACTCCTTATCAACACCTTTAATTTATTTTCTGTGCAAATAATAGACAAATCATTTCATTATTCCAAAGTATCATTCAAGAACACGATAACCCTGTTACCATGATTGAAAGGAAGTTACATCTTTTATATGCAGCGGTTTGATTGTTCAATTTAGAAAGGCTTGCCGAACACCTTAAAAGGAGCAAATTCCAATGCCAAAAAAGACGTACACCTGTAATTGTTTAAAACAATGGAAAATCCACAGAAAACATTTCACTATTTTTGTGTGTGTAATGTTCAAGGTTGAAGGCATATAATAATACAATGTAAGACCTTTAATAAATATTCATGAATATAAATGTTATAAATATGGAAAAAAATGGAAAATTCATAGTAGACTGAATGGAAAGAAAAATAATCCCTTAAAGGGCAACAAAATGTCTCGAAAATGTCGGGTTGTTTAAAAAATAAACTCATCTGCAGATTAATTTGATTTGGATCTACTTATGCCGATTGTGTATATAAGTCTTTAAAAATACTGGCAAGATTTTTCGGGAACTATATTTATTAAATACCTTGTCCTTGATACTATTTCAAGACAGCCGAAGGTATTTGATGTTCATTTTCACTATAGTGTGTCTATGGACAAGAATCTATGCAAAAATAATCACCGTGTTAAACTGAATCGCCGGCTTTTCTTCTACCCAGTAATTAACATTACCAAAGCAAAGAACTAGAGATAAAGTTCCTGCAACGAATTTTTTCTTCATCACAGTACAAGACCTGATAGGCCATTTGCACAATGACGTCAATTTATTACAACAACTAGAATGCTTCACTGTCTTGCTTTCTCGTTTAAACTAGAGCTTTTGTTGTCTTAATCCTGGTTGGGATTGCCAAACTTAAGATGGAAGGAAAAGGCAGGGTTGTATCTAGGGTATTTTAGGGGTAGAAGCTTCCCCCCCAAAATGCCCAGCTTCCCCCCTCAAAAATATAGTATACAGTATATAAGTAATTATATTGGAAAAATTATCCAGACACGATAAGGTCCTTGCACACACTGTAACATTTCTCAAAATTGTGTCTCAAAATGCACCAGATTGCATTTCAGGGTATATATTCATTTCCAAAAATTTCCGGAGTGGCTTGCCCCCGGCTCCCTTCGGCCACTCGGAACGTCTCCCCCAAACGATAAATCCTAGATAGAACCCTGAAAGGGAAATGGATTCTGGCAGTAGGACATTGAGACGCCATCGTGCAAATGGCCGGCTTATTGATACTGTAAGCTACAAAATGAATTCAGAGGGTGTTTTAAACTCAACTTTCAATAAATATACTTTTTAGGTCCAATTCCTCAAAAGACTCCGTTAAACCAATCCGCAACTTTACCACCTCCAACTGTGCAAATATCCAGCACCACGGACCTTCCACCTGGTCCAACAACCGCTCAGGCAGAAAATATAACTACAGGCACACCATACCCTTACGAAATGAGACACTATCTTTTTTTCTATCTTAAAGCTAGTTAATGAAACTATCAACAAGCTATCTCGTTTCTAGTTTATTCCTATCTTCATGCCTTTGTAGCCAATAATGAATAATTACTATCTTAAAACTATCTTAATAATAACTAATTTCTAGTTATTTGGAACCATGCACATAGGCTATCTAAATACTATTAAAAAGGAACTTTTTACATCGCTGCAATAGTTAGCTTTTGGATACACATAAAATAGAGTAAAACTAGCTTTTTATCGGCTAAGAAGCTAGTTGTCAGATACGTTTTTGCCAATAATGACATTATTGACATAGTTAGAAACTAGTCATTAGATAGAAGTTAACTAGCAATTTACATGTATTAATGGCACGATAGATAGGAATAAACTGGACATAAACTAGTTGAACGGATAGCTTTAAACTAGATGTCTGGTAGCTAAAAACTAGCGTTTGGATAGCTTTAAACTAGATGTTTGATAACTAAAAACTAGTCTTTGTATAGCAATAAACTAGATGTATGATATCTAAAAACTAGTGTTTAGATAGCAATAAACTAGATGTCTCATAACTAAAAACTAGTGTTTGAATAGCAGTAAAATAGATGTCTAATCTTGGCTACAACGTTGTTATCGGATAGCATTTAACTTAGTTTTTTGATTAGCTAGAGTGGTTGCACGGATAAGAATTAGATAGACGTGGCGTATAAGTTGATCAATCTTAGTGACACGCCATAGTTTTAACTTAAACCTTTTAAAAATAAACAGTATATTTTTAAACACGATGATGCAAGTCATATTATGTTGAAATATACTTGACTGTTGCCTGTAGCCTACAGCGAAGGATTCAATTTTCATTAATAATGATTTAAGTTCCATCACAAGCTGTTCAAAGTTCACATCAAATTTGATACAACTTTAGTATTTAATAATTTATATAAGAACTTGATCAGCTGCAGTCTGCGCCACTTCCTTTTATCCGTAGCACCATCTTTACATCGGAAACCTTTGATCCACCTGCCTTTTCCTTTTGCTCTGCAAAGAAGACATAAATATTAAAGGTCATCAATGTGCCAATTATAAGAATAAAGTTATGACATTAAAGAGTTCTTTATGGTACTAATTGTTTTCTAAAATTTATCGGCCACTACTTGAATATCGCGGATCTATTCAAGAGGAGCCATAAACCCGATTTGCCCTTAGATCCGTTTCTCTTTACATGTGTAATACAGAAGAACAATTACAGTGAAACCTGTATTAAGCAGACACCCTCGGGGAATGCTGTAGTGTCCGCCTAATACAGGTTTCGATATATAACGTCAAATGAGGTGTCAAATGCCATTCAAATGAACAGTGGAAGCGTTTATAATACTCCCAGAGATTAGGACGATAGGCATTTGCATTAATTACTTTATCAAAGTGAACCAATTGATCATAGTACCATAAACATGGATTGCAACTCAAATTTGAAGAAATCAGATGAGTGAAACAAGCTCTATACAAACAAAACAAATAGAAAACAATCCTGTACTGTGAAACTAATCAAATAAGTTCGTCATTTCACGTTTTTTAATGTAAAATTCGAAACATTTGTGGGTGGCAACTCGAGGCAGTCTTTCGCATTTCCGGCGTCTGGTATGTTGGGTGGCGGAATTTAATTACAAGTGTCCGTTTAATACAGGTTGGCAACAATAGCAATGACCATTTCAGGTACTTTTTAGGTGTCCGCGTCCGCTTAATAGAGGTGTCCGCTTAATAAAGGTTTCATTTAAAGTAAATAAGGGAAATAAATTTGGGGACGTCGGCTACTGTCCGCTTAATAGAAGGTGTCCGCTTAATACAGGTTTCACTGTATAGCTAGCCATGAAAGAAAATAAATAAAACTACACCGACGTACGCTACTTTGAAAGGGTGGTAGATCTAGCTCGTGAAGCTGGGCGCCTACAAATCTGGCCAATTATTATCAGCCATCAGGAGAAGACTTTAAAGAAAGGATAAGATTTTTATTAACGTCATAATTGTTGGATCTTGCGACTGTCAAATATGGCAACTCAGTTGTCATTAAATTTAATGTTTGCATGAATTCAAAGGGAGAGAAAGAGTTTCTGGCAAATTGTTTCCAATCAAATATTTGTGAACTCATGTCTGGCAAACTCTTCAAAGGATCATATACACACAATAATGCGAAACTTATAACTTCAACTGCGCTTAACGAGCGTAACTTTCAAAACAGCTGCTCCACAAAATGTCACAATTATGCGAAACTTATAACTTCAACTGCGCTTAACGAGCGTAACTGTCAAAACAGCTGCTCCACAAAATGTCACTGATAACGCGTAACGCAAAAGGTAAACGAAGTATGACCAAAAACTCTACCAATTTGCGGTCCCTTTGGAATTTTCTGTTTTACGTCATCCTAACCATCTCTTACTCACGGGCGCGAACAAAAGAAAACGTTAACCACCTATCCCTTGCGGCCCCTATCTATAAAAGAAATCGATATTTTTTTCTGGTATACTGACTATAAATAACAACTGTAAGTACTTTCCGTAATAAAGAGTGGTTCCTCGGAATTTCGCCTTATGGGCGAAATCTCTGCTCATGGGGGGGCAAGAAGTTCTTAACTGACTTTTAACGAGGGTATTTTCTAATTTTCTGAATATCTTTGTCAACTAGTATCCGTTTACAATCCTGAAAGAACGTTGCCCTCCTCAAAGAACTAATTTTCATTTGGAAAAAGAGCCTTTTCTTGAGCTACCCCTGAACTATGTAACAGACAAAAAAAAAGACTTTTCCATTCGCTGATTTTATTCCAACTGAAGACATACATGGTCAATACCTGGCTACACATGGCAATACATAGCAATACAGGGCAATAAATAGCAATACATAGCAATACATGGCTATACACGCAGTACATGTCAATACATGTAATTCATGGGAGTACATGGCTGTACATGACAGTACACAGCTATATATGGCAGTACTTGGCAATACATGGCAAAACATAGTAATACATAATAATACATAGTAATACATACCAATACATGGCAGTACATGGTATACATGGCTATGCATGGCAGTACATGGTAATACATAGCAATACATAGCAATACCTGGTAATACATGGCAATACATGGCTATACATGGCTATACATGGCAATACATGGCAATACATGGTAACACATGATAATATATGGCTATATATGGCAATACATGGTAATACATAGTAATACATGACTATACAAGGCAATACATGGCAATACACGCCTGTACATAGTACTACATGGCAAAACATAGCTATACAAAGCTATACATGGGAATACATGGTAATACATAAGAATACATGGCAAGACATGGCAATACATGGCAGTACATTGTAATACGTTGCAATACATGGCTATACATGGGTATACATGGCTATACATGAGTATACATGGTAATACATGGCTATACATGGTAATAAATGGCAATACATAGTAATACATGGCAATACATGGCTATACATGGGTATACATGGCTGTACATGGCTATACATGGTAATACATGGTAATACATGGCAATACATGGCAATACATGGGTATACATAGCTATACATTGGTACACATGGTAATACGTGGCTATACATGGCTATACATGGCATTACATGGCTATACATGGCAATACATGGGTATACATGGTAATACATGGCAATACGTGGTAATACATGGCAATACATGGCTATACATGGGTATACATGGCTATACATGATAATACATGGCTATACATGGTAATACATGGCAATAAATGGTAATACATGGCAATACATGGCTATACATGGGAATACATGGCTATATATGGGTATACATGGCATTACGTGGCTATACATGGCAATACTTGGCTATACATGGGTATACATGGTTGTACATGAGTATGCATGGTAATACATGGCTATACATGGGTATACATGGCATTACGTGGCTATACATGGCAATACTTCGCTATACATGGGTATACATGGTTGTACATGAGTATACATGGTAATACATGGCTATACATGGTTTTACATGGCTATAAATGGCATTACATGGCTATACATGGCTATACATGGCAATACATGGGTATACATGGTAATACATGGCAATACATTGGTATACATGGTAATACGTGGCTATACATGGCTATACATGGCATTACATGGCTATATATGGCAATACATGGCTATACATGGCTATACTTGGGTATACATGGCTATACATGGTAATAAATGGCTATACATGGGTATACATGGCATTACATGGCTATACATGGCCATACATGGTAATACATGAGTATACATGGTAATACATGGCAATACATGGTAATACATGGCTATACATTGGTATACATGGTAATACGTGGCTATACATAGCTATACATAGCATTACATGGCTATACATGGCATTACATGGGTATACATGGTAATACATGGAAATACATGGTAATACATGGCAATACATGGGTATACATGGGTATACATGGGTGTACATGGTAATACATGGCTATACATGGGTATACATGGTAATAAATGGCTATACATGGTAATAAATGGCAATACACAGTAATACATGGCAATACATAGTAATACATGATAATATACATTGGTATACATGGGTATACATGGCTATACACGGGTATACATGGTAATACATGGCTATACATGGTAATACATGGCAATAGATGGTAATACATGGTAATACATGGCAATACATGGCTATAAATGGGTATACATGGCTATACACGGGTATACATGGTAATACATGGCTATACATGGTAATACATGGCAATAGATGATAATACATGGTAATACATGGCAATACATGGCTATACATGGGTATAGATGGCATTACGTGGCTATACATGGCAATACTGGCTATATATGGGTATACATGACTGTACATGGGTATACATGGTAATACATGGCTATACATGGTAATACATGGTAATACATGGCTATACATGGTAATACATGGTAATACATGGCAATACATGGCTATACATGGGTATACATGGTAATACATGGCTATACATGGTAATACATGGCAATACATGGTAATACCCGGCAATACATGGCTATACATGGGTATACATGGCTATACATGCCTATTCTTGGTAATACATGGCTAGACAGGGCTATACATGGCATTACATGGCTATACATGGCTATAGATGGGGCAATACATGGCTATTTTTATACATTTCTTGATACACTTTAATAACCCTACTTAAAGTACCTACTTTGAAAGGGGCTTCACTGAACGAAGAAGATAAGAAAGTTAAAACCCGCGACGTGATATTCAGTTTAGTCTGCATTCTATTACATTGCAGTTGGAATGATAAGACATCTATGTCTCCAAATAGTGTTCTGAATGTTGACTTATCTTATTTCCTCAAGTGTACAGAATTTTTTCATAGATTTTAGAAAATGAGAACCTGTTTCAAATTTAAAGCTAAACAGGTTCTTGTATTTAAGGGACCTAACTGGCACATATTAGCCTAACAGTGTGTCACCAACTGTCTCAGACTCGCCATCTGCTAGCGTGTCAGCCACTGTGTCGACCAGTGCCTCGGCCTTCACATCACCCAGTGTGTCAACAAGTGTCTCGGCCTCCACCTCTTCTAGCTTGTCAGCCAGTGTGTCGAGGAGTGCATCGTTCTCCAAATCGCTCAGTGTGTCAGCAACTGTATCAGTGTCGCCATCCGCTAGCGTGTCAGCCAGTTTGTCGACCAGTGCTTCCGCGTTTACATCGTCCAGTGTGTCGGCAAGTGTTTCGGCCTGCACCTCTGCTAGGCTGTCAACCAGTGTGTCTACAAGTGCCTCGCTTTCCAATTCCGCCAGTGTGTTGGTAAGTGTCTCGGCCTCCAACCCTGCTAGCTTTTCAGCCAGTGTGTCGACGAGTGCATCGATCTCCACATCGCCCAGTGTGTGGGCAGGTGTATCGCCCTCCACCTCTACTAGCTTGTTAGCCAGTATTTCGACCAGTGGCTCGATCTCCACATCATCCACTGTGTCGGCAAGTGTCTCGGTCTCTGCTTCTGCTACCCTGTCAGCCGGTGTGTCGACCAGTGCGTCGGCGTCTACATCGCCCAGTGTGTCGGCAAGTTTCTCGGTCTCCACCTCAACTAGCCTGTCAACTAGTGTGTCTACAAGTGCCTCGATCTCCACATCGCCCAGTATGGCGGCAAGTGTCTCGCCCTCCACCTCTGCTAGGTTGTCAGTCGGTGTGTCGACCAGTGTCTCTAGCTCCACATCGCCCAGTTTGTCAGCAACTGTATCAACGTCGCCATCTGCTAGCGTGTCTGCCAGTTTGTCGACCAGTGCCTCGGCCTCGACATCACCCAGTGTGTCGGCAAGTGTCTCGGCTTCCAGTTCTGCTAGCCTGTCAGCCAGTGTGTTGACCAGTGTCTCTATCTCCACATCACCCAGTGTGTCACCAACTGTCTCAGCCTTGCCATCTGCTACCGTGTTAGCCAGTGTGTCGAACAGTGCCTCGGACTCCGCATCACCCAGTGCGTCAGCAAGTGTCTCGGCCACCACTTCTGCTACCCTTTCATCCAGTGTGTCGACTAGTGCCTCGGCCTCTATATCACCCAGTGTGTCGACCAGGGCCTCGGTCTCCACATCGCCCAGTGTGTCGGCAAGTGTCTTGGCTTCCACCTCTGCTAGCCGTTCAGCCATTGTGTCGACGAGTGCCTCGATCTCCATATCGCCCAGTCTGTCGGCAAGTATCTCCGCCACCACCCTTGCTACCTTGTCAGCCAGTGCGTCGACTAGTTTCTCGGTTCTTACATCGACCAGTGTGTCAGCAACTGTCTCGACCTCCACCTCTGCTAGTGGTTTAGCCAGATTTTCATTTAGACAAAGGATTTCTATGACGGCTAGTTCAAGCATTTTACCTTCAACTTCCAGTAAGAGTTAATATTTGTTTATTTAATAGTTTGTGTTTTGGTTGTGTTGCATTAGACACTATTGACCACGTAATTGGTATCTATAATTTTGTCGATTATGACGTTGTTGTTAAATGCAGTCAGCTGTTTTGCATCGTACCTTCTTTCTAGGATTCCTACAATTTTGCGTTAATGGCCACCCATTATCCCCTTGTGAAGTAACTTGCTTTTTTGTTTAAGGTTTTTCATTGGTTAACAACTTTTTCTATGGTCTATAAATTATTTGCCAAACTCTTTTAATAAGGGCACTGCTGGAACGTATGTGGATGTCAGTAGTATCTGCTTTTTATCCACTATGATCTTAAGCATTGATCCTCACTCAGGTAGTCAATTCTTAACTCTTGGCTAAGAGCTAACAAGTATAACCTTAATGTCGCTAAAGAGTGCAAACCCAAGCTGAGGTTTCCATCAGTGCACATATCGAGGGCAACGAAATCAAGAGTTGTCTTTCAAAGTCTCTTAGACTAACAATTTACGTGAGCCTCTCCTGGTGCAAGCATATTATAAGTATTTTAAAAAAGATTTTTTTCAGGAATCTGTTCCTTGAAACGGGTGAGACCAAAATTAATAATCATTTACGCATTCTCGGCAGCAAAAATAAATACGACCTTACTTGATCCCCACTTTATGTACGGCTGCAGTGTATGGTATGGTCTCATCTACACTTTGAACGATAAACTTCAAAAATTTTAAAACCGCGAGGCTGCGGTAATTGCCAAATCTAGTTATGACGATCCTTTTGTTGCTTTGATGGGATAGGGTTCAGTTATCTGAACAAGACAAAGGGCGGTTATCATGTTCAAAACGCTAAAGAGGCAAATGCCCCTCCTCCTTTCTCACATTTACGATATGTTCTCTGCTCGTGACGTGACATCTTTTTACAATATCTGTCACTCCGAGAACATCTTTCGAGTTTCTAAACCAAGGAGTAACTTTCTTAAGCTCAGTTGTTTGTATGAAGGGGCTGCCCTTTGGAATGGACTACCATCAGTCAGGACTACTAAGCCATTAAACCTTACAAGGTTTAAAGATGGAATAAATGACTAACATTCATCAACGGGTACCCACACGGCAAAAACGCAAACTAGTATTTTAGATCTTGATTATCTTCAAATACTGATGTTGTAAACCGTATCCAAATAGAATACTTCTATGTCTATGTCTGTGCACCCGCAATTGGCGATTTATATTTCAACAGAAAATGCCTACTGTAGCAGATTAGAACAAAAAAGATAGTTGAAGTAATCTTAAAAGATATCTCTGCAAAATATTTACTTATTTATATTTACATATTTACTATTGTCGAAACGTTGTAGTTTTGCATGGTGAAAATGTTTATCAACCAGCCTAATGAAAAGCGCAGTTTAAGCCTTCATAAGAGGAAAGCTAAATGTCACGCGAAGCACACTTGTTAAGAGTTAAAAATGCCTTTTTATTTTGTTCTTTCTTTCTCGTTTGAAGCAATTGCACCTGCGAGCAATCTATTTGCGTTTGGGCCATCGGAGAATGATACTGAACTCATACCGGAGCAATCTTGTAATGACGAAGTGATCGGCCAAAGTATCAGAGCGGGCCGTTTTGGATTTGAATTCTTCCAGAGGAGACGTTTCAGACTGAATGTAGGTATCGGGCTAATTGTTATTGCTGCCTAAAGGCTTGCAGGGATCTTGGATTTTAGGGAGCTAATTTAATTAGCTTTCCACTCCTTCTTCTATATATCCGACTTCATGGTTTCTTTTTACGTTTCCTTCATTTGTTGAGATTATTCTTCATATTTGTATGCAATTTTAAACACAACTAAACAAGACGTGTCTCTCTTAGTACCGGTAAAAAAAGCCAAACGGCATCTTTATAGCTTTCGATAAGCCAGGGGAGTCTTAAGTTCTTTAATTGGTTTGTTTCTTAAAACGGATTTTAAAAAAAGACGGTTATAACTGGAGCAAAGAGCCCACTTTTCAAACTATTTTACAAAGAGGATATCTTACGCGTCCGCCCGGTGATACGAAATTTAAGTGTTAAGTGGACGAGTGAAATATTCTCGATAACTCGAAGAGAAATTTCGTATCTCCAAGCGGCCATGTATTGTTTTGTTTTTTATATAAACACCAATGAGATACCAAAATATTTCGCTCTGACATCATTTGGCCGCGAAAGGTGCGATTTATTATGTAGCCATAGCAACGGGTGATCTTTACAAGGCTGAAGATCAGTATCAAGTTTTCGCGCAGAAACTCACCTGGTATTTCATTGGTGGTTATGTAATAATTCATTTTCTTTTACTTTAGATATTTAAACACAGTGATTTTAATACAAGTCCTATCGACGCCCAGAAATTTCATGATAGCTTCTTCGAAAATCACATACTCTTAGACAAAACTAAGCCTTATGCTAATCAAATCGGCATCAATTTATACAAAAATTAAATTCGACTAAAATATCACTCATCGGTATCACTACTCCTGCTTTGCTAGATATTTTTCAATGGTAAAATCCAGTTTAACGAAAGATGGAGTGTGCGGTGGCCCCAGAGGTTTGGTGTTTACAGATGGTTACGTTCAAATGCGTTCATTGCACCATTCTGGGCTAGGGTGGAACATGCAGCTTTTAACACAGGAAATTCCAAGGTTTATTATCACGCTTACGAGCAAAGCAACCAGAACACGGATCAAACAATTAACATACTCCGTCTGGCCTCACGTCATGTTCAGAATTACACTAACGCAGCGCCGTAGCTAGTATGAGGCCAACCGAGGCACTCGCCTCGGTAAAATTTTGACGAATTTCGCCGATCATTTTTATTTTACATAAGCGATCATCGGATATTTTTAACGCATCATGATATTACAAAGAATTCAGCAATTCAGTCAATATACTATGAAAAAATTACCATATCATCGATCTCAAGGGGCTACGTACGTTAACTCAAATTTTTTTTGAACAAATACTGATCAAAACCATTGGCGAGGTTAACGGTCACCCAGATTATGTAGCTTGTTTCTGATTATTGCTTTTTAAATTCCACTTAAATTAACTCGAAAAAAAGTTACCGAAAGGCCCAGAAAACGCTGCAAATCGCATTTCCGAGAGACTAAAGTTCAAAATTTCTCGGGGGGGGGGGGGCATGCCCCCGAACCCCCCTAGCAACTCCCGACTGCCTCGGTTGGCCGTTTGGTCTGGCTACGGCACTGTAACGATGAAAAATTTAGAAACTTTGAAGCCACTTGGGTTCTGGTTGTCACTTGGGTAAATGTCTGCCCTTACGACGAATGTACAGAACGTTGTAGTTTGGTAAGTTACGATTTTCACATTAATTATATTTTTCAGACATTTTTCTTACGGTGGTTTGACCGTTTCTCATTGCTATTTTAGATTCTCCGAAAAGTAACCTCTTTAATTCAGCAACTTTAGATTGATGATTAGCTTTCGAATAGACCTTGTCACTAGTGTAGTGAATCTAGTGTCGAATAATTCCCATAGAACGGGTTTTCTGAAAAAAAATATGAATTGTAAGCTTCACTCCTAACGATTATACCGAAAAAAAATTGAGGGCGTTATATGCAGCTACATGCGCTAGAGCGACTTTTTTTTTTTGTCTGTAAAAATTTTTCTTCCTTTGGACTAAAATTTCCCGCGAAAAATTGCAGACAAATATATGGAAAATCTAATACAAGCGTCTGGAGAAAGTTAAGCACAGTTACGGCCCCCAAAATCCTTTGCTGTAGCTTCAGTTTACAATTAATTTTGTTTACAGAACAGCCGTTTTACGCAAATTATTCTTCTCATACAAACACTGTAATTTCTCACGCGGTTGCCTACTCGTCAAGATGGCTTTCAAACCCGTGACAAGGTCTGTAAAACTTCGCTCGCTGTGCAATATTATATTGACTGACTGCTTTGTTAGTCCTGTACTAGACTGCGAGTAGAGCCGTCTCTCCTCGCTCTTCGTCACTGAGGACGTGTTTCGAGCACGAAGGACTAGCGTCTTCGCCATTTTCTATACCAGGTGTTGGATCTATGTTATTGGTGGGAAAATGGTACGTGAGAAACTAGAGAACATTAGCTGAATGGGAAGCGCTCGTTGATTGAGTGGGGATTAAGTGCATTATTTTGAAAGACACTTTTTTGCCACAATTTTATTTCAACCTTATGTCTTTGTTTGGTGAACATAGAGACTTCAGATTGCCATGTTTTGGGTGGAATGATAGGCGAGATTAAAATAGCGACCACGTCTTAGAAGTTTTTTAATTTTTTAAATACCTTCAATGTATTTCCAACATAATCGTGGAAAGAGTCACAAGATCTTTGTCCCGGTGCGCCCATAACAAGCAGGGGGAGTAGCGCGCAGGTCATGCATTAGACGGCTTGTGTTAAAATTCATCGCCAGTTTCATTTCATTTTCAGAATGGCATTTACTGAATAATTCGTCTTATAATTTGTGACTATACCTTCCAATTTTGTTTTTAAATAACGTATTCCTGGGGAGGAGGAGGATACTCAATAAAGATTCATACGGGAAGGCTCCGCCCTGAGGTCCAACCCTTACCCTTCAATATTCAATTTTTCACAGCAAAGGTGCCCCTTTCTTATACTGTAAAAACTCGTGACTAAGAACCTGGTTTTTAAGAACCTGTTATACTAAAATTTGTCAATTAGGCCCCCTCCTTAAAAGAACCTGTTTAGCGTAAATTTGAAACAGGTTTTTATTTTCTAAAATCTATATAGAAAAACTTATGTACGCTTGGGCAAATAACGTAAGTCACCATTCAGAATCCTCTTTGGAGACATAAATGTCTTGATAATCACTCCCACTACAATGTATTGGATGCAGATTTCATATAAAGAATTAACTGAATATAATACTAAGTACTCTTAGCTTCAACGGTGTTGTGTTTTTTTCTTCCGAAAATAAGAAGCTGTTTAAGAACCTACATAGCCTAAATTTGTGCTAATTACCATTTATGTAAGAACCTGTTTATGCTAACTTTGGAAAACGCAGGTTATTAGTCGTACTTTCTGTCGTTATGAGTCGTTTTTATTGTATTTTCCATTGACAAATGGCACCCCTTTAGAACTTTGCATCTCTTTTATCTGCTGTAAAATTCACTGAAGAAGTAGATAAGACTAAATCACTAAACCAGGACGTTTTCTCGGCCTTTTCACAATTATAAAATGCATCTGTTGGCCGATTTGGGCCTATTTACAGACTGAAATGACATACGTCCAGTTCTACCGTTCATATACTTCAGTTGATGAAATCCCTACCCTTTCATATATACTCGAAGGCTGAAAAAGGTACCCCTTGCGAGCGTAGCCTAAAAACAATCTTGCTCCGGTTTGCTTGTCGGCCCCCACTCATTTTCTGAGTGCAGGGTGACTAAATGAGTGTTTGAAAGTGTGATTGCGTAGAGATGGGTTCTTGCCAGCACAGTTTAATTGAATCCAGTCAATTACGTCTTACGAGGTCATTGGTTCGAATCCCGTTCGGAATTCCTTTCGGATTTATTTGCATTTGCTTAAATTGCAATTACCTCTGCGACAATCATATATTCGTGTATTATCGCAGTTCACATCATCTTCATGTAACATTTAACTTGCTACAAAGTTGCTTACAGTTTTTTAAATCTTCCCCGCTCTACTTTGTTTATAGGGATGTCAAGATGTCGAAAATAACTATGAACAGGTTAATGATTTATCGCTATACCACTGGCTAAAATAATGTCCTGAGTTTTATGTTTGTAGAGGAACACTTTTCAAGCAGTCATCATAACAGACTGGGGTAACACGTTTCTGATTTACAACTACCCTTCAGGAGGAATCGAGTGGACAGTTAATGCTCCTGTGTAAGTCATACTTATGCAGAGTCAAAGGCCTAGGCCAAACGTCGAACGTTTCATGAGACGAACCAAACTTAGTAAGTTAAGTTCTTGGAAAAGTTCGACATCTAGCCTCAGTAAAAGTTCGTCTGTATGAGTTTGGATCGCGGAACACGTTCTATCCGTCTGCGTCAGACGTCTGAAGATAGTCTCCGGGACAACGTTGATCTTAACATGCAACGAACGAACTAGACTAGTAAATTAAATGCTATTTAACCTCGTTCGGGAGAAAATTTTTTAAATTGCCTTTTTGGTTCGACGCCTTCTAAGTTCGACGTCTGACCCGACAGACGATCTTAATTTAATTTAGGTCGACCTAAACTAGAGTTTGGTTCGTCTCATGAAAATTCTAAGTTTGGCCTAGTCCTTACACATCACTAGTTGAATGCTGTTAGGTGAGCTTGAAACGTTTAGAGAGAGGACTTCTTTGTTGTTGTTTTTGTGGCTTTTTAGGCTGTTTTTAGTGTCTCTGTGGGACCCGATTGCTGAATATTGTGGGTTGCAAGGTTTTTCTTAAATATTAAAATACGTTCTAATTCAGTTCAAACGTTGGATCAATTCAGATTCAATGTTAAAGGAAATATAATAATATGTGATGATAGTAATGATCACGACAATGGATGATACGGTATATATGTTATAATATTATATGACATATGATATATATTACCAACCACACTGATTTTATCAAAATACTGTTTTCCTCGTGGTTTGATTGGCAATTATCTTTCCTGCAGATCTGAATATTCTGAATGGACAGGTGTGTATGGTATTCCAGTAGCCGGGTGGAGCGCTGAAGGCATTCACAATCTCAACCTTGAAGGGTGAGGCGTGCTAGTTACCTTGTGGCCTGCGCCGCAGACGAAACTAAACTCTGGTTAAGTCCGTCTGCGTAACATCGCCGAAATCCTTGTTCTGGGATCCTACCTGTGTGCTGGGATTTGAGTACGCTCCATGATTCGCTTGTTCAAAATTCCATCGTCGATTTGCCCATCAAGGTGAAGGAAATTCGAAACAGTCTTCCAGTAATTCGTGGAGTCCGTTGGGGCCCAGGACAAGGATATCGGTGCTGCTGCGGTGTTAATAATCGAGGTTGAATTACGTCTGCGACTCAGGCTAGTTACCCTGCGATGAAATATTTATCTGTAAGAACTCAACAGTAACAAAATGTTCAATAAAAAGCAACTATATGTACAGTGTACTTGAATTTACCTGGGATTATATCTGTTAGAGTGGAATTCCTTCACGACTTGACAATAAGTCAGGACAAGGAAATGAACGTTTCTTTTAAGACTTAGTTCTCTTTATTTGGCGAAACCTCCCTGGGCAATCTGATTGCTGTTAAACAAGATTTATATTTATCTTTAAATTTATTGCAATGCGTGTCATGTCCTATGCCCTTTTCTTCACAATAAAGGCTACAATAAATAACTGTAATGTACTTTTTTATATACATACATGTACACCATACCTTTTAATACGGAAATCAACAATGTCCCATCACTGGGTCTCCTTTGGGCTCATTATGAAATTATCTTACGTGATAGTTAATTCCCTTGAAAAGGACGTGCTATCCAAATTTTTTTTTCCAAACTTGGCACAATTGACATCCATATATGGGATACTGCAATAAAAAATGGGATCATCGTGCTTGTTTTCGCCCTCCGTGCCCGTAATTCTTAGCGTTTTTTTCCTAGTTATGCGCAAATGTTGGAAACTTGAATAGCTATCAAAAATTCCTATCATACAGCAAAAACTATGGATCTTACTAAAACTTAGAGCCTCTTAGTAAAAGTGAAAAGTTTAGTGAAAAGGACAGTTTTCACGTCATTCATATCCAAATAATACAACTTCTACTCTCCAGATCTTTTTCTTCTTAGGATATATTTTTCGTGTAGCCATAGCGATTTAAAAACACCAATAAAAAAGCGGGGTGACCGATCTCGTTTCATCGCAAAAAGGCAACAAAGGAACAATTTCGGCTTCAAATGATCATTTTAAGCGACTGGGCTTGAGCGAGTTCCAACCGTTTTAGCTTGGAAGAGTTATCAAAATCGCTATTAAAAGCATTTAGGCGACCAGTGCAAATCGCCGCCGCCTTGGAAGTCGCAATGTTATGCGCAATGCAAAACAAAGGAATTGCCATTAGTCAGTCTGGGAAGCTATCGTCCCCAGGCTATTATTAATTGTGAATAATACAAATGTCTCTGTGGTCAGTGGGAGAGTGTGTATGGTTAGTAATTGACTGAGCTATACGGTTTTAAAGTATATTTATCCTAGTGAATGGCTTAGAATGAAGAGCTCCTTTTTTAGGCTTGGCTAAATTTATATGATGAGATATGGATTGTGGATTCCTACGAAGCAGGAAACTGAGGCTGATAACAACCCTCTAAATCTGGAGTTTTTCATATCCTACAAAACAAATTCAACTACTGTTTATCATTCATTCAAATATTTGAAATACTGTCAAACTCTAATAAATATGAAAAAAATAATAATAATAATAATAGTAATGACAGTGAAATAAAGTAGGATTAATTAAGAATAACCGCTTTAGTTACCCTCGACAGTATTTATAGCGAAAAGTATAGTGGGGCCGGGCAGTGCCTGAAATAATATCGACCAAACACAATGGGGTTGATAGTCCCAACTGACCGGGGCCAAATAACGCAGGTTTGTGGAGGATTTGATGTCGAGATTACCGTAAACAATTCCAGCTAGCGGCCAGAGCAAGACTTGGACTCGGGGCCTCCATCCTGCAACCACTTGGTCTCGCTACTACCACCTGTTCAACTAATGGCTAGTTCCTCGAGTAGATTGTTAATTTGTGTTGTAATATTTTGCTGATTTGTGATCGCTAAACATTTGATAGACTCGAAATATTATATACTATTGTTTTATACAGGTCAGGTACAGTGCTGGGAATGTATAACTTGGATATAGGATAGGAATGGAAATACAGGCACGCTAGGCAGATATTTTTGGAGAATAGAAAACCAGGAAAGAGACGGTGACATAAAAAGGTGCATCGATTGGATTACTTTTCAAGACGACGTGCTTTTTAGGTTTTGGTATGATCAGCAGTTTCGGTCTCGACGTTTCAACCAGCGTTTGGCGTGTCCGTGCACTATATGGCAGGCATTTCTGGACAGGGGACGATTCTCTCCGGACTTTTCATACCCTTCTTCAAATTTTTGTTTTAGGTCCAGACGCTCCAGGATCTTTTTTCATTTCAGTAATGACCTTGGCCTTGTGCTCTTTCGGATAAGACAACTCTGCTGTTACTCGTTCTCTTTCAATGACTTTGGTGCCCTTAAAACTGGTCCGCCGGACGGAAGTCACGCTATTGTTGAACCAATTTTTGGCGCTAGCGGGGTTACTACCGACAGAGACGCCGAAACATTTTGCTGTGCTGATCCAGATTTGTGCAGTCTATATTATTTTTATCGTCCTAGTGATGATTGCTTTTTTTACCGACCTCGTAGGAGACGTAAGTTTTTTTGTTGTGCTACTCCTTTCTTTAAACAAGGATGTCTTAATTAGTGCTAAGGCTGAAAGGAGAGTAACAAGGTTACTTTGTTCGTACGTAGAACCTGGAAAAATTGTTTAAATCTGTAGAAACTAAAATGCTTCGAAGTTACAGTGCGACTACCGTAGACAAAGTTGACCAATCGGATTACAGGAAAATAACAATACTTTCCGATACAACTCACTTTGACTCTGAAGATGACTACCGCACAGGTTGTCGAAACGTCAGTCACTGTCAACAACAACAGTCCTATTCAGGACTACGTTCACCCGGAGGATCAACTTACTTTTGAAATGACTCCTGGGTTCAAACCTTTCACAGTAATACTTTCCGAGATAGTTAGCTGTCAATCGTAATCGAAATAAACAACATGGATCGAAATCTACAGACGAAGGGCTGTTGTGCCATGAATATTTTCCAATTATACTTGGAGAAAATCTCCTTAGGTTTATGAATTTATAGTACTAGTTAATGGTTAAAATGCATTTCGCGTATTTCCTTCACCGCCCAAAACTACGTTTACTAACAGGAGCGGTGCAGTATCCTAAGAGGTAAAAAAAGCTTGAGAACTCTGTTTATCCTAATTTAATCAGTACCTTAATTACTTGCTATGTTGTTCCAGGTTTGTTCTGGGGTGATCCACATTTTAGGACACTAGATGGTGGGAATTATACGTTCGACGGCCTTGGTGAATATGTAATGATCGACGCACAAGATGGGGTATTCCAACTACAAGCCAGGACAAGCCTTGCCCTACAAAATTCAACTACTGCCACAATTTTCTCAGCCGGAGCTGCTAAAGAAGAAAACACAAGTGTCGTTGAAGTAAAAGTGAAGAAAGGAGGTGAGACATACTCGGATACATAGTAGCAATCAGATTGTCTAAATGATCTGATTATTCTTTTCTGATCGGTCACACTGAGGCCACAAAATTCACACTTTGCTCACTGTGTGCTCAACGATTCAGCTTTTTTCAATGCAGTAGAAACCCACGTATAAGACCCTACAATTTAGGAACCTGTTAGGCTGAAATTTTCATTTTAAACCCCCTTTTCATAAGAACCTGTTAAGCCTAAAATTTTCATTAGATTTTTATTTTACAAAAATGAAGGCACCGCTGAAAATACAGAAAAAAAATTTAGTCTAGGTTTCAGTCATCAAGATTTAAAGAATAAACTAAAATGAAAACCATATCATGTCTTTGCCAATACTGGATCACACAATGCAATTATTAAGAATACAGATCTATGTGTCACTGCATGCAGCATGAAGGACATGCATGCTAGTACTTTGGAAAGATAAATTTACTGTATGGTAATCATCTAAACTGTATTCTAGATAATTATTTAATACAGCAATATATTCCATACCACATATACCCTGTAGTAGTTTTCTGTGCTGATCACTAACGTCCCTATCAAATTAAGAACCTGTTTAAGAATTAACCTAAGTAGTCTAAAATCGCACTAAATACCATTTCTATAAGAACCTATTTAGGCTAAGTTGGAAAAATCTAGGTTCTTATACGCGGGTTTTTACTGTATCCAAAAACTTAAAGACATGTAAACGTTTTATTTTTTTTTAGGTGGAATCGACATTTTGATTGAAGAAACAATTTACCCTAACTACGCCAATCTGACGAATCAAACCATAGATGTCGGCGGAAACCTTTCGTTCTCGAAACCAGAAGCAAACTGTGTAGAGGTTTATTTTCCCTCAACAACGTCCGTGCAGTTCTGCGAGAAAAGAGAAATGCTCTCCTTTGTGGTTACTCTTAGCGAAGATTACAGAAACAGCACCAGAGGATTACTGGGTACTTGGAATGATGATCCTAATGACGACTTCACATTGCCTGATGGGACGGTATTGCCTCCATCTTTAACATCAAGGAAAATTCACTTCGATTTTGGCGTTAAGTGTGAGTTTTTGATTACATATATGAAAAACCGTTTTCGCTTGAAAAGTATGAACACTGCCCAGTGGGACGTAATGGATTTATGGGTAGAACTTTTTTACCACTGCACATTTAAAGTTCCTTCCGGAAAAGTTTACATTATCTAAGCTTTCCGCGACGATGTATTCCAAAAAGCGTCAACTGATGACTTCCAGCTTTCTTGGCGATAAGCTGACAGTTTCACCTGTGCAAGGCACATCAGAGATCTCTATAGTTAAAGAGCGTAACCATATCGCTAACGCACACTTAAAAATCAGCGTAAGATAGGATCGACGTAAGCGCTTTCTTGAAAGACATATAAAAGACAACGGCAACGTTGATTCGTCTGACAACTTTCTTTCTTGCATCGTGTAGTTAAGAAAAAAAAGCATCTTTCTTGTTTAACGCTTTTATTTTTTCAGGGCAAATCAATCAGTCTCAATCATTGTTTACGTATGCTCAAAATGAAAGCGTAGATACCTTTGCGAAACCGGACTTTTTGCCTATGTTCATTGAAAACATAACGTGGTTTAACGCATCTGTGGAGAGAGAGGCCAGGGGTCGATGTGGAGATGACATCGAGTGCTTATTCGACGCTGCAGCCACCAACGACGTGTCTATTGGACTGGTAACCAAAGATATAAATACTCAGTTTGAGAACGAAACAAACATCCTCGGTAAGTCACCTGAGGAATTGTGTTGCTAAGGGGAAAGGTGGGGGAGGGGGGGGGGGTACTGCCATATAAGGGCTAGATACATTTACGTATGTCCCGCTCCATAGGATGTGTCTTTTTTGAGGGTTTTGATCTTTTGGGGCATCATTTTTGCCCTTGTTCGCGTTGCTTTTGCCAGTGTTATCTTTCGATTCTTTGTGTTGTAATAAGATTTTTTCCTAAGCATTTTAAACTAAAAACAAACATTTGTTCACCAGTGGATTTTTACAATCATGCTAGTTAGGCACAATTGTAACATAAATGTTTTCGGCACGTTTGGCCTGGTTGAAGTGGTTGACATCGGACCGAGCCACGCAGGTTTTTCCTTAATGTGTAATGTGCTTTATTATTCCCTTAAACCAAGATCTTAGTTGAATTCATCTTAATAGTGATCTACAATTGTGACAAACAGTAGCCAACCCGATTCCTCGAACCCTGGAAGAGAAAGAGAATTGTTTAGATAATGAGGAAAAACCAAGGGTAAAAATCATAAGGGAAAAGAAAGTCAATATTGGTGGGAATCGTCGAGAAACCGACAGTTCGTGAAAACAATATTCTAAAATGTTTTGTTCTCTACCGTAGAAAATTTTCCTCCAGTGATAGTAAATGCCTCGGATGTAATAAATGCAACGCTTGATGGAATTGTTCAGTTTAATATTACTGCGGAGGACAAAGACACTGTAAAGTTTGAAGTGATTAACAAACCTAAAAGTGCCACGGTAACACAAAGTGGAAACGTGCTCTACTTTTATTGGCCTGTATTGTCGTCACAAAAGGTACATAACTTTAAACAATCAATGCGACCCAGTATAATCTGCTTCACAACCGTTCTATGGGTTGTCACGCAACGCTCCAGTGGGGTGGACCATTCTGTGACGACCCAAAGAACGGCTGTGCAGCAGAGACTAGGGCCAGTGTTACGAAAACTAAAGCGCGCGTAAAAGTTTGTGAGGTGCTTTGGTTTATAGTATCGCGAAGTATTGTTATTGGTTGTTTGTATTTTGGCGAGCCCGTAGCGCGACTCAAACAAACAAGTTGTAAAATACAATAAACCAAAACAACGAATAGCGTAGATACCGTAAAATTCCGAAAATAAGCCCCTCCATGTATAAGCCCCTCCAAATATAAACCCCCCAATCTGGTAACGCAAAATCGCTACGTTAAATCGCCCCTCCAGTTATAAGCTCCCCGGGGGCTTGTACTTGGAAAATTGCCCTCAAATACAAAGTAAAACAAAGCAAAAACGGTAAATTTACTTCCAACTATATGGCTAGCCCGGTCGATTTTGAAACGCAAATTTCCCTCCGTAGATAAGCCCCTCCGACTATAAGCCCTTCCAAAAATAAGCCCCTCAAAAAGGGCCTTTGAAAAATATAAGCCCCGCGGCTTATTTTCGGAATTTTACGGTATATGAAACAAGGAAGAGCGTCAACTTTAGCCGCTTTTCGTAGAATAGTTAGGCATGAAGAGAACTAATGAGAATAAAATGAATCCAAGTTATTTGTGATTAAAAGAAGCGGTGGGAGGAGGGTATATCAGCACTACCTTAACGATCACAGACCTCAGTATGAACTCCGTCAACCATAGACGCAACTTATTTCCCAGGGCCCAGTTGTTCGAAGGCCGATTACCGCTTAACCCGGGGTTAAATTTAACCCGGATTTCTCTTTCTTGTGTTCAAAAGCATTTTCTCGGATAATTTTCTCTGTTGTATTTAGAGCTTTCAATCATCGACTTGTACACAAGGTTTCAAATCTGAATTCAAATCTCGCACTAACCCTGGGTTATCTTAAACCAGCTTTGAACAACTCGGCCCAGGTTCACTCTCTAACCCTTTGGGACGGGTACGTAAGGACCATGGGAACGAGGTTGCCATAGACGAAGGCAGGAGCAATAGAGAAAAGCCCTAGGAGAAGGGATGACTAGAAGCGATTGCATTTGGGTAAACATAAAAACAGAGGCCAGATTTCGTTTAGTCAAGTTTATCAGAGTTTGTATGAAGGTGTTTGCTTTAATAATCCCGAATAATTTGCATATGTGGCAATGATATTACCAATAATAGATGTTTCTTTCAGTAATTTATACTTTAAAGCTCGAAGTTAACGAAAATGATCAAATTCATTCAAACTGCTGTCACCTAACCAAAAAAGTAAATTCAGATTTTTAATTTTTGTTTTTGTTGTTACTTTTTTTTTGTCGCTTTTCTCTGGTCAGTTCAATCTATCAATCGTTGCTACTGATGACAAAGGTGCAAGCGCACTTTGGAATCCAACAATTAGGATGTGCGCCTGCAACAACGATGGACAGTGCATAGAGCCAGAAGAGGGTGATTCCATCAACACCGACATCAAGTTTATTTACATGGGTTCTGAAGGTTCTGCGAAAGTGAAATTGATGCCTGCGAATTGAATGGTCAACCGTGTTACATAGGAGTTACATGCATTGATGTTGACCCACCAGCAAATGTCAGTGGATATATTTGTGGGCCCTGTCCGACAGGATTTACCGGAGATGGCGCTCAGTGTTTAGGTGGGTATGGCTATTGTGATTCAAATTTATCCTCCGTTTAAATTTTGTGTTCCCTTGAGTTTGAGTATTTTCATGAATGATAATGAGTTTATTGAGGAAGAGAGACAAAAAAAGAAATTTTTTAAACAAGAACATAGCGTTGTTAATTATAATTTTATTACGCGTGCCAGTATGACTTCAAGAGACCTCTTTAGCACGAAATAAAGCCTAGTAAATGCCCATCTAAAGAGAAAAAACAGGGCCAGGAAAGCGAAAGAAGATAGGAGGAGAGAAAGCGAAAATTTGAAAATTTGCATTGTTCGTAATGAAAGCTTAAATTTAGCATCAGGGGCTGAAGGCAGCGCAGTCCTCGACATCGAAAAGGAATTTGGGGCGGTATTGATTCTTTATAGTCAGACAGTTAGACCAGAAAACGGCTCGAACAACTGCAAAAGGCGTTACTTAATTAATTCTGGCAAAATTCCGAGTAGCTTATGAATGGAATGAATTGAAACATTATTTGAGCCCTTTCAGAAGGATTAAACACCTACCATGTTGGGAAATGCTGTAACAACATAAAGGGTATGCATTAAAAGACCTTAATAGCCCATTTAAGGAAACTTCTCTAATATGCAACCTGTTAGCGTTTACATTATCGAACTTTTTCCTTAGACATCGACGAATGTCAGACTAGTAACACAAACAACTGCGAGCAAATCTGCGTCAATACAGCGGGATCCTACTATTGTACTTGTCGCGATGGATTCACCAGTAAAGCAGATAAACAAAGCTGCGAAGGTGAGAAGCTTTACTCAACAGAAACTAATACCAGGGGCGGATCTAGGGGGAGGGTGCAGGGGGTGCGCACCCCCCCCCCCGAGATGACCTGCGGTTTTTTAATACAACTGGTATTCTGCAAAAAAAACTATGTGGTTTATTGGTGTTGAAGTAGAACAAGACACGAGTGCACCCCCTCCTAAAAAAAATCCTGGATCCGCCCCTGAATACTCTAAATGGGACTTCTGCTAAGATAACGTTGTTAGCACATTCTTTTCACAAAATGACAAAACATTGTCTATCTAAAATTGGATTAGTCTCGCCAAAAGGTTTTCAAAGGCATATTGTAACAGCCGTTTTTGTCTGCGTTGCGTGACGAGACGAAAACGGCGGTAGCGTTGCACATCCAAAAAAGGCAAGGATGGCCGTACAAAGTTGAAAAAGATTACAATGGATTGCATTGATTGTAGTTTTTGAAAAGCTGTCTGCCTAACAGGCTTTTCAAATTTCAATTTGTTGTTTTTAGCTTTGCCGATATAATACTTGGGAAATATTTGGGACTTTCTTGGGATATTTGTTTGACATGAAGCTGTGTTTGTATCATTTACAAGTAATTTCTTCGCTAACGTTAGGTTTCATAGCGAATAAGGACGCGTAATTTTGGCGTAGCCCCTTCGTTTATTTGTTGATGGAAGCCTTAAATGCTAATTTATCTCTTTGTTTACAAACTGTAACGGAGTCATGTGGACACACCCTTAAAATAATGACCATGCAATCAATTACATTACTAGAATGTCTTTATTTGCTGTATAGATGTCAATGAATGCGAGCCATCAAATGACTGCATGCACCAGTGTGATAACACGCCGGGAAGCTTTAACTGTTCTTGTAATGAGTTTTTCGTGGTAGATCCAGCAGATTGGAGAAAGTGCGTGGGTATGCATTGTATTTCTTTTTTCTTGTCTTTTTGTCTGTAGTAACACCCATTTATTTATTTGCCATGGGAGGTTTTCTGCCAATAGTAATATTGAAAGTGTAAGTACGTAACCGTTGGAATTTGACTGATTATATAATCGATCAACGGGATGATTTCTGATCAATAGTTTTGTTTTTCTTACTTTTTAGCAACGAACCCCTGTTCTCCAGATCCTGGCTGTGACCATGTGTGTTTCAGCGATGCCAATAATCAGCCAAACTGTGACTGTTTTGCAAACTTCGAACTTCAGAGTGATGGAAGGACATGTACAGGTACTTGATATTATAAGGATTCTGCCTTTGTTGATAATGAAGGCGCGAAACAAAGCCGACCTGGCAGAGGTGTCAATCATATTTCCTAACTAAGCAGCCCATATATATTATGCATAACAAAGAATAAAAAATTATTCAGCAGAAACAAAGGCAAAACAGTAATTTAAGTAGTAAGGAGGGATAAATACAAGATACGTGTAAGTATTGTCATCATTACCGACAAGAAAGGATAGAGCTTTATCCTCTCTTGTTACCGAACCACCGTAACAACATGCTCCTTGCGATGGAATAACTGTAACAAATTCTTCCAACCCCTCTCGTGTTTGTATCAGGCTATGCAAACACGAAAAACGTTTTCTATTCCTTAAATATATAAATGGATCCCGCGTTTTGACTAAGGGCTGTTGCAAGCAATCCCCCCTTCCTCCTGTCACCCCCATAACGTATGCTAAACAGGCTTACGAATATCTTTCTCGTATACACTAGATTATTCCTTACCCAAAATCCAACTTTACGTAGAGGCCAGACGGTATATCAGTCAAAGGACGACAACCCGTTTCAGTACGTGGGTCTCAGGAAACTCATATTTTCACCACAAAAAATGCACAGAATCCAGAATCGGTTTGCTGCAGCTTGTAAATGTCGCTCATTTTCACACACCCGCGAGTCGCCGAGGTTTAAGCACTACGCGATGTCTTCTGTGCATGTTAGCTCTTTAGCTGGGATATACTTAAATTAAGCATTTTTTCTCAGACATCAACGAGTGTGATCCGGCTACGCCTCTCCATCGATGTAGCCATATCTGTCAGAACATCCCTGGAGGATATAATTGCTCTTGTCCAGGAGGATATCGATTATCCGACGATGGGTACACTCGCGATGGTAATGTTTTGGTCTTTTTTTCCAATAACTAAGTACATTTGTACGTTAAGATAACACCAGCAGTGTGAGTTCTCCCTTATTTTTGGAGAAAATTTCATTTTGTTCTAGTTCTCCTAGCGAGACTGATATTGCCAGTCAATCATATGCCCCGAACACACCTTTGACTTAGGCCTTAACGCCCTTGAGTACTGATAAAACCTACTACGGTCAACTGTCCTCGGGACAGAAACCGTATGGGCCACTTGCCTGTCTTATGGGGAGTCGAAGGAAATTTAGCCTTAAGGGTCCGATATGGGGCTACAAGGACGAACTCTTTGTCTATGTTAAGGAGGCTATATTTCCATCTTATAGGGGTGTCTGACACTGTATTAAATGGTTGTCAGCCTAACAGAGCCGAAGAAAATTCAGTTCTAAGGAAGCGTTAAGGATCACCGTTTTAGGGAACGTATCCACCGTTTTGTCTATTTAATAATTAAGTGGCTGTCCACCTAAGAGCGATCCGGCGAGTTTGGGATCGCCAGTAAACCTTCCCTTTATTTTTTGTGGGTGAAAAGGACTTAATGAGGAATGATTAAAATCGAGCTAAGTTTTTTCAAAATCTTTTTCTGTGCTTCGCTACAGCACAAAACTTCTTTCCTGTCTGAGAGCGCTTTTTCAACTTTATTCAATGGCCAAAATTCAGTAATTTTAAAAGCCGCGCGTCTTCGTAACGGATAAATATCGCGAAATTGTACATAGTACAATGGACTTAGCTGCATTTAAATTGTCCTATGACGGAATCTTGGATAATTTGACGCAAAATAAAATAAAATTAATAAGATCAAAGACGAGCCACTTTGCGGTTTTTTTGTTCCCTTGACAAATTCCTCCAAAGTAAAAGCTAAAATCTCCAAAGCGGTACAAAAATCACAGGCAAAATGCACTTCACAGCAAAGACCTTACCTTATTCTGTTAGAAAATAAAGTCAAATTAGGTGCGGGTATCATTCTGCGTCGGACGCGAACAGGCGTTTTTGAGAGCTCTTTTTGTCAATATTTACCTAAAATTGCACGTTTGGCGCCTACACTTAAACTCATATGATAAGGTTGATATTTTTCCCACGGGGCAGAATCTTGGTATGCTTCGTCAAAATAACGCACATTTGTTGTTTCATAAGCCATCTTAGGCCTGTAAACGGGCATAAAATGTCATAAAATACATGTAGGAATTCTTCATCTACTCGTATATTATGCAAATTTAAAAGCTCCTTTACAGCGGGTTGTCGATTTCAGCAATTTTCAAAATCATGAAGAAAACAATTCACTTCTGCTCAAACGAAGCCCTTTTTGAGTTTGGAGTCTCAGCAATTAAAAGGCTCTTTAATAAAGACTGAATTCAGCTCAATTTCCTTTTGGGTTTTCTTCATGGTCATATGCTAATTAGGATTGTTGCCACGCAATGAAAACGGATTTGGAGCAAGCAAGTTGGTGCCTCTTAGTCAATGTAACAGGTGAGCGTTATTACGGCTCATTCGAGGCGATGTCACTTAACGAAAGAAAATATTACAGAGAGCGAACTTACTTTTCAGCGGACTGGGTATTTTGGTAAAACTGCCCAACAAGGTGAAAAAATGTTTGTATGTCCGATACATCGTGCGACCCTAGGGAAGGACTGGGGTACATGTAATCCGACTGGCCGCACAGAATGCCGATATCCAGACCATAAGGGAAAACAGACTTGTGCCGGTGAAAAGTTAGAGTGTCGGGGTCAGACGGTAAAAATTGCCGCCAACCTAGAAACTTCCAAAATCTCCTAGTGGTGTCTGCAAATTCGAGGCTAGCGGATGGGCGGCTGCAGAAGTTAAGGGGAGGCGGGACAAGGTTTAGCGAGAAAGTCAAGTCTTACCTCACCGCACGATTTGATGTTGATACACAAACAGGCAGGAAACCAGACCTTTCTGAGGTCGCAACGGACATGAAAACGACCAGAAACACAGGTAGTTCAAGAACGTTCCAGAGACGAATGGCTTACAACGGGACAAGTTCAATCATTCTTTTCCAGACTGTCTGCAATCAGCAGGAAAAAAAAGGCTGACCAAAGCCGAGAATGTTGAAATTTGTGACGAAGGAGATTTGCTCTCAGTGCTCTTGCAAGAAGAAATTGCGTTTCTTATTGATGAACGTAGAGACGCAAGGAGGTCGAAGATATTTTCACCAAGATGGGCGTAATACAACCCATCAGGTACGATGGCCATGATATCTGCGAGCAGGCCAACCAAGAAGTAATCTCAAAATTCAATGTGAAAACATCTGCGAATATTTTGAACTGTCGTTCAAATCTTAAGGCACAAATACTGCTCTAATAAATACAATCACAGACATGGTGAAAGAATGCAGTTACTGCCGCACCACCCCGTAAATGGCCAGGGACTGGCAAATTGCCACATTGCATTGGGGTGGGCCGAGTTGCCTAGAAAATTTCTATTGTTTCTAGGTCGAGTCCGTGGAAGTGTTTTCTCTGGAGTTTCGTATACAGTTTGAAAGTTTAAATTTCAAGGTATGTTGTATGCTTGTATAAGACGAATAATCTCAAGTAACTTATAACTTGACATCAACCCTTGAAAGTATGTGACCTGCTTTTTCGTTCAGTACTTTATTTACAATACTAGCAAAAGAGCAGGCCCCAGTTGTTCAAAAGTTGGGTAGGGCTATCCATCGGATGAATCTCTATTCAACTGATAAGTATTACGGAAACCATTTGCTCTATCCAGTGAATAGTGATTAACACGGTGGATAGCGCTATCCACCTATTGAACAACTGGGCCCCAGAAAGATAAAAGTTGTCCGCAGGACAGTTTTTTTTCCTTTGATAGATATGAGTTAAGATCATTATTGTCACACTTTACGTTTTGGCAATAAGAAATAAATAACGTAAAAAAGTCACCAAATGCATATCAGCGGCACCCAACGACTGTTTTCTGTGAAATATCTGTTCGGAGAAGCATAATTGCCTAGAATTTTCTATAGCTTGAGGAAGACTAAACATTTATTAGATGACCATTCCATGCTTGTACAATTTTCGAAGCTAATCTAATAAATTCCCTACAATTTTCTGAAGTTTAATTTTTCCTATTTCAAACCCCAGGTTAAGCTATTTTTCGTAGAGAAAGGAAACCTAAAATTCCCGGAACCGAAAATGCGATACAGAAAGGAATCAGAAAAATCCTAACTTTTGTAAAACTTTAAATTGCAGCTAAAATTTTCGGGAAAAAAGACTCACGGTTACCCTAGTATGACCCAACAGATAAAAATCTTTTCAGCGTCACTTGGAATACATTTCTAGAGATCTAAAAGAACTTTGGATAGCCTAAAAAGTGTTCTCAATGCATTTTAAGAGGAAACAGTCGTTGGGTGCCCCTGGCATATAATAGGAGCTAAGGATTTTTTCTGGTAATGAATCAATTTAATTACAAGCAATGTGGCACTTTACGTGTTCTTGGGCGTGGACCGTTCGATTATTGATGGGGGTGGGGGCTGCATTAATTTTAGCTTCTTGATAAAGCTGTATATATGTATGTATATAATAGAAGTAGACTGATGGGGCTGGATTATATCTTGAACATTTATTGCTACTCAGAGTTTCATGCCTCTTGCGAGGCGAATCATCAGGTAAAACAAAACAATAAATGTCAGGCGTGGCGTTGGTGCGTGGCGCGTCGTACTTAAGTGATGCTCACAACATGTCAAATTTGCGACAAGAACTAACCAAGTCAGGACAGTGTTTAGTAGAAATTTGTTTGAGTGTTTGCAACCTGAGATTAGTTCATTTCTATTGTCCAGGGTAGACATTATACAGGCTTACAAATTATAAACAGCACGACGAGCCACGCACCACGCCTAGTATTTACTGTTCAGTTTTACCTATATCTTTGATCGTAACCGTTCATTTGGGCAGTTGCCTGATGACTGCCGCGCAAGAGGCATGAAGCTCTGTGTAGCAACAAATGTTCAAAATTTAATCCAGTTTCATCAGTCTACTTCTATTCTGCTCTAGGTTAACTATGGATCAGGACACCCCCCTGGCACCTCGTTGTATGTATAAAATATATTATCCTTCCAGCCCTGTAAAATTCTTTTTTAATCTCGGTGTCCTTGTCCTCCCCCCACCCCCTACTAATAAGGTAATGGTTCAACCTTTATTTGTTTATGCAAAGAAAGGGATCGATACTGGAGGTATATTGCGTGACAAAATATGACTGATGGCGTGTGGGACAAACGTTCAATATTACCCGCACTCGGAAAAATATTACAACAGACATACCCTTCACCAAACTTAAAGTGATTCTTAATAATTTCTCAAGAGCTACACGAGAAAAGTCACCCGAGGTGAGAGAATCCGACATGTTCATGATAAATGAGGGATAAACACAGATGTGGGAATTCAACAATGATTCAAATCATGTCAAATGCTCGAAACGGAAAAAGAAACTCAAGTGGAATATGAGATAAATTTCTCTTTTAAAAAGGGTATCCGGTTGCTGAGTTTCCAAGCTGAAGATTGATTACATTTGAGAAGAAGTTAATAACCGTACGTAGTTTGAGATTTTAACATAGCTGAAATGGACAACCTGGCTGTAAACAAGCACGATTTGCATATTCGACGGGTTGATCAAGAATGTCAGTTTACGACATTTTTTTCGGCTTTCATTTATACTAACTTAAAAAGGCTAATGAAAAGAAAACACATGTTCGTTATTTTGAGGATACACAACAACATTCTCAGCTGCTGAGAAAATATCTACTAAATTAAAGTCGTGGTGTGTGAGCCGTTAAGCGGGCAAATCTATGCAAATAATGTCGAAAAGAGGCTCTTAAAAACGTTTGATCACGTCCAACCCAGAACGATACCCGCACCTTTGACTTTATTTTCTGACAGAATAAGGTAAGATCTTTGCTGTGAAGTGCATTTTACCTGTGATTTTTGTACCGCTTTGGAGATTTTAGCTCTTACTTTGGAAGAATTTGTCAAGAGGAAAAAAAAACTGCAAAGGGGCTTGTGTTTGATTTTATTAATTTAATTTAATTTTGCGTCAAATTATTCCATATTCCGTCATAGGACAAGTCAAATGCAGCTAAATCCACTGTACTATGTAGAATTTAGCGATATTTATCCGTTACGAAGAAGCGCGGCTTTTAAAATCACCAAATTTCGGCCATCGAATCAGGCTGAAAAAGTGCTCTCAGACAGGAAAGAAGTTTTGTGCTGTAGCGAAGCACAGAAAAGGATTTTGAAAATCAGCTCGATTTTAATCATTCCTCATTAAGTCCGTTTCACCCACAAAAAAATAAAGGGAAGGTTTACTGGCGATCCCAAACTCGCCGGACCGCTCTTAGGTGGACAGCCACTTAAACCACGAGTGCGCGTTGGATATTTGGTGGTAGTAGCCAAGGAGGCGCGTAGGGCCTCGTTGGCCGATATCATCTCATATCCAACAAGCGCGAGTGGAATAATTGTTTTATTAAAAACGCCCATAAAATATCGAGAATCAGGCTTCCCGACTTTATTTGTTCAAACAACCGATTTTCGGTTTGCTTTTCATTTTTGAGCAGACGCGTACCGTTACCCTATTTTGAAAGCACGATATAATGGCTCATATACCATGATGGCTAAGCCAATCAGAGCTCTAGAATCGCATCATCCAATGATTCAGTTTTTCATAATTCCAAATCTCCCATAATACGCTTTGTTTATTCTCCCTGCCCCCAAATTATGCATAACCTGTTATTTTCAAATGCTCCTGAGAAAATTGCATATTCCGTAGAGTATTGAAAACAAAACTTTATGCAGCATTTAGGGGCGGGCGGGTAAACAGAGTGCAATATGGGCGATTCCAAAATAGCCAATAAAGATGTCCTTTAAGTTAGTGTTCAAATTGGCAAAAAACTGAAGTATTATATATTCCACATTTTTTTTACTTTCCAGATATTAATGAGTGTGTAGATGACAGGTTGTTTAACTGCACGGACGTTCAAAGGTGCATCAATGACATCGGTACTTACAGATGTGACTGTGGAGAGAACCTTTTCTTTATTGATGGACAATGCAGAGGTAATGATGTAATGGGAACACATATGGTCAATTATTTGACGAACAGTATCTTTATTAGACTTAAGATAAACTTTCGATTAAAATATTCCAAGAAGCCTTCAGCTTGAGATTGGAAAAAATACTTTATTCTACGAAGAATTACTACAGTCACCTTCAGTAAGGTGTTTATCACCAGAGACGGGTGTAGAAAATCCTCCAACGAAATCGAAGCGATGATCTTCAGAACTCTAGTAATCGTTAGCATGAGCTAGATCTGACTGGGAAAAATCGAAAAAGCTTTCAAATAATGAGTGTCCTTGAATTGCCGGGTATAGAGATTTTTGCTATTTAAGATTTCATGGCCACGGCCCGAAACCTTTTGAACAGTCGAATGGGGCTTCACTGAAGGAAGAAGATAAGAAAGTTAAAACCCGCGACGTCACAGATATTCAGTTAAGACATCTATGTCTCCAAATAGGATTCTGAATGTTGACTTATCTTATTTCCTCAAGTGTACAAAACTTTTTCATAGATTTTAGAAAATAAGAACCTGTTTCAAATTTAAAGCTAAACAGGTTCTTGTATATAAGGGTCCTAACTGGCAAATTGTAGCCTAACAGGTTCCTAAAAACCAGGTTCTTAGCCGTGCGTGTTTTTAACTGCGATAATTGTTATTACGTCATAGCTCTGGAGATAAACGAGACAGCCCCTACCCCCTCCGCTTGCTGAGCCGCGAACGCCATCAGCAGAAGAACAACTGGAGGCGGTGCAGATAACCATTCTTTATAATAGCACTGTAAGCATTTTTTCTCGTATTAATTCTTAGTAATTGCGTGTCTTTCTTCAAACGATTTAATGCGAGGAAAAATATACATATGCCCCCGCCCCCCGCCCCCGCCCCCTCCCCATCATCTATGCAAAAAGTGTTCGTCAATGATATCAATTATAAACTTCTTGAAGTTGGTGAAACTCACTTAAAAAAAAAAATCACAGCATGTATATTTGGTTTGTGAGGAAAGGTTTATATTATAATGGTAAGTCAGTTGTACGTAATCTTAATATTGTACAACGTGACATTAATAATGGTAATTGATGTATTTAGTCTGAAATCATACACGTGATTTCCATTTGAAATAGCGCTATGATTCAGAACAAACTTAAACTACACTCAGTTCAATCACCACTTTATTACAACCATTTTGAAATCACAGAATTCAAACAGTCAGTACCAATATTTATTTGATCTAGTAGCCAGTTTGTTGAAAAGCGGAAACAAAGGGCTTTTTCATCTTACTTTGTACCCGAAACAGAAATGATGTAATAGAGGGCGAAAATGGTGCGCGATTTAAAACAGGAATAATGCAATTTAGAACATGAATGACGCGATTTAGAACAAATGTTATTTAGAGCAAAAAATCGTGTGACTCGTGAATAAATCACACTGCTGAGAGCCAGTCAGATTGCAGGGATCACCAGTGATTTCAAAATGGATAAAATACATCGCTGATATAATATAATTATTGCAGCACGAAAGCAATATTGCGGTGTCCAAGTTGTGTACCTTTCAGACCTACTTATCGGGACACTAACTATCTTTTTACTCTCTGTTTACTTGTTGTTTGATAGTTCAAATGGGATTATACAACAGACCAGGCTTTTAAAGAAATAATGGCGTCCGTTGCGTCCGAATATTGTAATGTGAACAGAACAGAATGTGCATTAACCGTTACACGGCAAGAAAGGTAACTTAGTTATTAATGGATCACGAAAGCTGTTGTCGTTTACATTCAAGATCTAGGTTGCAATAGTTTTCCTGATAATTTGATAAAACTATCAGTCAAAAAACAAAATGGACTAGTTTGTTATCCCGCACATTTTTTCTTAAGATTAATATTTGTGTGTTTGATTACGGGCTCGAAAAGTTACGGGGACTTATTGAGACACCGGCCCCCTGTGTGTCTTCACCTAGTGTACGAGAGAGAGGGTGTTTCAAACGACATCTAAACACAAATAATTGGGTGGAGTAACATCGACGTTGTCTAAGTCGACTTTTTAAAGTTAATTGTTACTTAAGAAATTAACTGAGATAATTTATTAGTCCCTACGCAGCAGTCTTAGTGTTTTCATCGTACAACACTTGGGGAGGAACATTACGCGACGACAAAAAACGGTTACGAGTGATACTAATAATTCATTTATTTATTGTTTACTTATTTAATGGATTATAATAATATTGATTGATTGATTGATTAAGTCATTAATACGCCTTTTTTTTTTGTCTGTTTGTTTGTTTGTTTTTTTTTTCTCATCAGAATCGACCTCTATTTATCTTTGCGAGTTCATCTTCTCCCTGGTTATCCTAGAAACGCCTCGGGTGCTTTGCTCGTCGCTTTTTACGTTCAGCAGCCAGTGGGACTTTTTATTGGAAACCAATCAGTACTCCCTAGCAGCGCACTAGTTGAAATTATTCAGCTTTATGAACGACAGATTGAAGCCGCAATTGGCGCCAATATAACTGGTGTGGAAGCTCTTTTCAAGCCTACATCCACACCTACAGAATTACCTGTCGCACCAACCAGCAGTAGTGATGACACCGTGTGGATTATAATTGGTGTTCTTGGTGGATTGGTCCTTCTACTTTTGATAATTTTAATTGTCGCGTTTGTGTATAGAAGGTAAGATATGTTGACATATAGGAAATAAGAAATATTGTTAATCAGTTTTTCATATCGTGCAGTTTAAAATGACAGTTGAACCTCCATTAAGCGGCCAGTAATCAAAGTCCCGAAATAACTGTAGAAAAGAATGAGAAATTAAACCTCTATTAAGCGGCTACCGTTTGTCCCAAAGAGAGTTCTCCCCATCAAGCGCGTAATACACTTAGTTTGACTTCAATTTAGAATATGATAAAGGAAAATACAGTCTGAGATAGAAGGTGACGGCCGATTGTGGACCAGTAATGTTTCTCCCGTCGCGCGTTTGTTTAAAAAGAAACTGATGTTTCTGCCAACGATCATGGTACAGTCGAAACTCCTGACCAACAGGCAGCGTGGCCGAGTGGTCACTGACCACTGGTCAGCGCGTCGGACTCGCAATCTGGTGGTCCCGGGTTCGAGTCCCGCTCTGGCGAGTTGCTGGATTTGTTCTCGGTCGTCCCGAACTCAAATCCTGGGTCACGCTTGTAAATAGCCAACTGGTTGCCTCCTGCCTGTTGGGGTTTTAAATCCTGTTATGTTGTATTTGAATTATTTGTTTTCTAAGTATTCACTGATTGTAAAGCGCTTTGGATCGCTAAGAGAAAGGCGCTATATCAGTGTATATTATTATTATTATTATTATTATTATTATTATCTCTCGACAGCGGCCACTTTCTTCTGGCCCCAAGGTGGCCGTTGTGGAGAGGTTCAACTGTAATTTACGACGAACCACCTCTATTGAGAGTCCAACCTCCAATAAGCGGCCACTTGCCGGTACCCCGAGGGTGGCCGCTTAATAGAGGTTCAACTCACTGTTTGAGGTTTCCTGGAATCATTCGTGCTTGCTCAAAGCTGTTTTACAAAGAAAACTCACTGAACGCAAAAAAAAGGACTTCCTATACAGCGTACTTAAGGTTATTCGTCTGAAATAGAAACTACAGGGAAATTTTTGTCAAACTTTACCGCTTAATTTCTTTGAACTCCAAAACTAAATATGATTATAATTATGTGCGAATAGACGTTTTGAACACGTTTCTGACGATTTTTTTTTTCTGCTCTGAGAATTAGTCTACATTTTAGAGAGGAAAGCCACTGTTCATTTTCAAAGAAGGGAAAAAGTGATCGGACACCAAACTCATTTAAAAGAAAATGAAGATTTAACTCTCTTGGATTCCCCTTATTGAGGCCCGAAGAAAAAAAAAAAAAAATTTTTGGAGACCGCCCCCCCTTATCTCAGGGTCTGGAATCCGGAATCCTTCCAATTTTTGCTGTGCAATCTGGAATCCTGACCTTTGGAATCCAGAATACAGCTCAAGGAATTCGGAATCAAAGTAAGGATTGGTATCCAGAATCCAAGTTCCACTGACAAAGAATCAGGATTCCAGTACCTGGAATCCTGAATCCATGGCATGGAATCCAGAGTCTAAGACCGTCTTGGCTTTCTTTACATGGGGCGACCAGCTATAAAAATACTTGTTTAATATATAGATTTAGCCAGGGCTAAAAGCGAAGCTCTCAATTGTAATAAATTTATAATTTAAATCAAACAACAAACTTTTAATCCACAAATCATTCAACTTAAGGGCACATTCATGTGACTTTTGAGGGAAAGGCTAAGTTATTTTAGAGTGAAACATCTTACATCGAATTGATAACCTTATATGTACACCCAAAAATAGCAAACATCTTCGATCACATTCAAGATCACAGTAGATAATGATTAGGCCTCGAAAACAAATTCTTGGAAAACAAATCACGCCAAAGTTTTTTGCGTTCGACAGGTTTACTTTACAAATTCTTGCCAACAAATCTGGGGTGTTTAAACCAACCTTTTATAATTTTCATACACCACATTTGAGGTGAAACAGTACTATTTATCATACAGAGCTCGGACAGAATGCGGTATTTCACAATTTTTCAAGACAAATTGCACTCGGTCAATATTCAGGACGAGCCAAACCGTTCAAAAATTTCAGAAAATTTCCAAAATCACCCATACAGCCAGCTGGTTCTCGTTTCTATAGTGCGAGCTGTCAGTGTGGTCGAGTGTTTGAATGAACTTTAACAGAGTTACGCTTCAACATAATAGCGAATTTATTATTATTTGTTTTGTTATTTAATGGTTTCCGTTATAACGATGTGTAATCTTATAAAGCGTTTGATACGCGCGACATTTTTGAGTACTCCTGCAAGCGATGGTCATGAACGATGAAAACAAACGGCACGGACAAGCGATTAAAATTGCAAGAGAGACTACTAACAATCAAAAAAAGAGATATAATTCCGTGAAACATTTACAGAGACAAGAATTTTCATTCATGAAGACAAGTATTAAAGTGTCTCTAAAAATCCTGAGTCTTTCAGCGTAAGGCTTAAGTTTATGTTTTAGCCGGCTTCCCAGCGCGGTGTTTACTGTTTTCGAAGGTGAACTCCTCGAAGCAAGAAAATCGCTCAAAGTTTTCTTTCTACAGCCAAATTTATAACTAAATATCCTTCGGAACGTTTTCTTTCTATTTGTGGTGAGCAAATATATCTGAAGGCTTTTTAAAGTTCTGTAAGCTTATATGAAACCTGCTACTAGGTCAGATCATTGACTCAAATCCTGCAAACGTGCATAAACTTAACGCATAAACTGTCAGCGTGAACAGTGCAAGACTTCATGAAACACAAACATCAAATACAATAATTACTTAGGCTTACCATTCGAGATTCAGTTCCTGAAAGCTATCAAGGGAACCACAGTTGCTTGAGACTTTTAAACCCTCTTACGCACTAAGCAAGGTGAAAAACGAAAACGATGCCATCCGAAATCGAATTACCGAATTTTGACAAGCGACGCATTTCTCAACCAAAACCCGGTAAACCAACCAGCCATGAATAACAGAAGACTCTTGATAGCAGCTGTATTTCATTTTTTACCTCCAGAGGAAAAAGACAGTTAAAAACATCACAAGTTGACACAAAACTCTGTCAGCTTCAGCTGTCAAAGTAAACTACTTTCAAGATGCTGCATAATTTTTCCGCATAAACTCACCTGTCAAATTTTGACCAATCAGAGCATAAAAATTGGACGTAAAGCGTGACCAACGCGTGACCATGGTAAGATAAGGTCTTCCCCGCCTGTACTTTTAAAAAAACTGGATGAATTTTCGCTTCCGAGGTCAGTTTGAAATCAAAATCCTAATAGTGCGGGGCCATAGAGACATAAACACAACATATTTGATATGAATCCTTGGAAAAAATAAACTTGAGCCTGCGATCATTTGAAACTGGTAATTTGTCAGCGGATAACTTTAAAAAAATACTCGACCTCGATGGGTCGACACTTGAGCCCGCGGTACGGCCAGGTGATACTTGTCAGCGGATGCCCTGTTTTGATAGCTGTCAATTGATCACAACATTGATGTGCAGCCTGTGCAATTAGTTTTCTCTTGGGCTCCCAAACTAGCTAAAAGTGTGAGAGTAAACATTGGTTTTCCAGTGGTGCGGACGGACGGCGGGCGGTCGGTGTACGGTCACGTGATTACCAAATTTTCTGGGATGGGTAGATTTACTTAGCAATGGGGCTCCGCCCACGCGCGCGCTTCGCGCGCGCGTGGAGCTCCGCTATTATTATACTCATAATTTTATACAACAGTGCACTATTTAGTTCATTTTCTGAAGATTACCTAAAGATTATTAGTAAAAACAGCATTTAAACGTTTTCATTGGTTCTGTTTTTATCAGGAGACACAAAGGGAAATTAGAAATAGACTGGCGAAGATCAAACTGGAGTCGCGATCTTGGAGGAGAAGGGCTTGAAGAAATTTTTGAAATCTTTAATGACAACGGATTCTATGGACGAGATAACAACCTAGAAGACTTAGGAGTACTCTGAATAATTCTGTTCAGGCTATTTATAAATTTTGCTGTTTCAAAGAAACAATTTTCATAAGTCCCGTTTTCGAAGGACTATTAGTGTAAAAGTTGCTTATAAGAAAAACAGTTATTTACGCGCGCGCTTGTTGATAACGACTGTTCTGCTAAGAAGTTAATGCACCTTTTTAGACTATTGAATATAACTTAAATTAGGGTGCGTCTGTCTCTTCCTTATGTTTGGCCTAACTTTGTTAACGAAAGAGACGATCCTCAATTAACAGCATTTGAACGAGTCAAGAAATTCTGTCTTGAATGAGTATATTAAATTTGTTTTTGGTTCTCAAGAGACGAGTCTTTCTCAAGAGAACCTGCTATAACATCCTAGTACTGGACGAGAGATATATACAAATGAATTTAGAAGTAAAAATAAATTATACATTAAGTTAGAGGTATTTTATGTTAGAATTATTAGCTACGCACAGCGGGAATTAGTCCTGACTGACACTCAAGTAATTAGTGTGAGAAACATCATAACCGTGCAGGACGTTTTCTTGTTTCACCTAGAATGATGTACTCGCACTGAAACATGAAAATCTCTGTCTAATTAACATCGAGATTTGTACAAAAGTAGGATTTACTGATACTATCAAGAGACTTTAAGACTGCTATTTCAGGCATTGTCGGCCAGTATAGGTATTTATTATAACCCTGCACGTCGCTTAACCCTTTAAACCCTAATATGAAAAGTGAAATTCTCATTCATTGCCCCCGAACGTTTCCCATAAATGTGGAGGGGAGTACTTTTGTAGAATCAGCCAGATTCATCTTGTGTGATGAAGTCCTTAATTCTTGTCACCGATCTCTTTTATAAATCATTAATATTACTAGGAGAATGTTGATACTGAACTCTTTAAGGGCTTACAGGGTTAAATGCTGCATTAACAATATATTTTTGCGAATTCTTTGTCCTTGGCATAAACTACACTTATGTATTTTGAAAGCTATACCTGGAATATACTGTCTGTATGAGCTGTAACCAGGTGAAAATATACTCGCTATCCTTCTGAGCGTCTTTTGGGTTTATTTGTCTGTTCGATTGCTATGGCGTAGAATCCAAGTTTGCTCTGTACCCCGCTTCGGACTTCTGCCCTCTCAGGGTCCCCCATTGAGGAGGGGGGTTTTAAGGGTAGGGTGAGGATTTACAATTTCCATTTTTCCAGGCTAACTAATCATTTAGCTCCAAGAGCCCCCGTCCCATATAACGTTTGCCTCAAATCCCATTTCCAGTGGCAATTTAAAGTAGTAGCACTAAGTGAGAATTTCTCTCTTGGTAGCACCGAACAAGTATTTTGCCAAGAGCCCTTAAGGGTAAACAGTGGTTTTGAGTCGTGACGGTCTTGGAATTATTTTTTTGAAAAAGTATACCATTTGCGTTTTTTTTTTTTGAACAGGGCGTGCCCTTTCTTAAACGATAGCCGTAACATGTCATCTTTAACCCTTTCACTGCCAGAGTGCTTGATGGAGTTTTGTAAGGTGACTCTAACTTTTGAGTCTGTGGACGAAATCCTATGATGTGACCATTCAAATGAAAGCTCTCTGCCTGTACTTACACATGATGCTATTTGTTTGTCAAAATTTTAGAAAATGAAATTTGGATATTTGGTCGAAATTTGCCTTTGGCCACATTTGGCTGTGAAAGGGTTAATCTCCAGCCAATGTACAGTAGAAGCTTTACGCAAATTTGCAGTGAAGCGTCCCCTCGTCGTAACATAACAATACATTCCTGGAAACTTTAGATATCCGAGCTTGCAACGTTGTTATTGTGGGAATGAATTTTATGGACCCGCCTATGTTGTTGGAAATATTCTGAATTGATAAATTAATGCAAGTCCTCTAGCGTCTCTTCATCAAACTCAAACCATAAACCTTGGGCGCTAGACTTTAGCTCAATATGGAGCGTTTTCACATGACGTCACGGCGGCCATATTGGTGTCCTAAAACAATGAAACGGCGGCCATGTTGGCGTTCCAAACACTGATCCGTTGGGAGTTGAACTCTTTTCTGAGGTAAACAATTTCTTTTGTTCCCACAAATTTGCATAGATCCTGGCCACGTGAGTGAAAACGCTCTATTGAGTCTATTCAATGACACTGACAACCCTTAAAATTTGCTCTGTTCCAAGGAGTGCTGTTTTGGGATTTTTTAAAGCTCGATACTACCTAGAATGTAGGTGGTAGCCTTATCAGTGCCTTTCTTAATTCCCAGTAGTCCTGATAGTTTTCCACTGGCGTATGACTACATGGATTAATTGAGTTTTAATCCGGGTTTTAATTTAGTGCTTTCGTGCAATCTCTATTTCCAGCTTAATATCACAGGACAATTTTTCTGACACCTTGATGGAAGTATTTCTGTCGCAAAGTAAAGCCACGTCAACGAGAATACATTGGTTATCTTGTTTAGTCTACCATAACGCTAGCAAAGGTTCGGTTACAACTCGGGGGGGTACTCAACAAAAATTCATACGGGTGGCTCCTACCCTAGTCTCCTTTGCAGCCGTTATTAGGGTCGTCACGCAACGCTCCTCCCCACTAGTGGGGAGGAGCGTTGCGTGACGACCCTAATAACGGCTGCAAAGGAGACTACTCCTACCCTAGAAGTCCAACCCTTACCCTTTATTTCTGACAGAAAAAAGGACTCTTTTGTATACCTTTATTGAATAATGGTACCCTTTCACATACTGATTTTGAACTTGGCTGCCATTTTACATGCTGTAAATGCACCGTCTTTTAAATTTGAATAAATCACTAAATCAGGTATTTAATTTATTCGTTTTGACATCATGTCAGTCAAAGCAAAAAAAAGGGCACATTGACCCTAATCATGAATGTCACAACGACACTGAGGTCCTCTTGTATAGTTGCTGCGGAACTCTACTGATCCTCGCTGCAATTGTTAACAGCAAACTCTTCGTTCTTCATTTGGAATTCGTTTCCAAAAACTGGTAGGTCGGAAGAGTGAAATAGATGTTCCTCTAAAAAGCTTTCCAATCTTTGTAGAAAACATAGCTGAGAAGTCGATTAGATCAGGAAAATAATCTCTGTCGACTATCAACTAAACAATCTTTCAACATCAAAGAATCCAGATCAATTTTCCAATGAGGAGAATATTAATGATCGTCCTAGCTTTTATACTGGAGACGGCGATATGCCCCTCTGGACGTCTGAAGGAGGGATACTTGAAGAATCTCGCTCAGAAAGTGGGCCACCACCGATCACAGTCATGGAAACAGCCACAGAAACTGGAGTTGACGTTGGCGGTGTAATAGCTGAAGGCCAATAACTGCTTGACGGTGAAATCCCCAAAGAAATACTGCGGGACATGCTTGCACTGCCTTCAAACAAAAATTTCAATATTAGAACACCGAAATTTCTCGGTTAAACTCTTTGCCAAAAACACAATTTTAAGTTGTTAGTTTGGGTTTTAATTTCAAAATGTAAGGCAGGATATTTCCTCCGTTTCCGAGGAAATACGCGTCCACTCGTAGAGTGTTTGAATCGTTTTCACCTGTCCACACGAAGAAGCTAAAACGATGGAATTACGATAGCATCCCTTTCAGAAAATGCGCTGTACGATGTATGACATCATCGTATTCTCAAACCTCACTTTCCGTCCGTCCACACAAAAACGATAAGCATTCGTTTTCAATCCACTCTGGGGAGTATATTTGAAAAAAAGGCGTTTTTGGAGATCGTTTTCACCTCATACGTGTAGACGGTAGGCCATACTAGACAAAGATATTTCCAGTTTCAAACAAAAACGGTACGTGAGAGAATGATCATTCTCTCTTTAAAATTTCCACCACTAGCAACTGACACTTACGTGAATAGTTGTTTTAGTATACGTATACATGTACTAAAACAGTGGGATAATTGAGCACTAAAATAATGGTTTTTAAGTCATTTATTGCTGCCGACGATTCCAATATGTCACGTAAATGATCGAACAGCCGCAACTTTTTTTTTCAATAAAACAATGAAGCCATTTGTTTAGCTCTTAGGAGGGCATTTCTTCAAAAAGAGTTGTGAATTCTTTCTGCATTTGAAACCATCCAGTAAAAAAGTAGTCTTAAGCTTATTTCTGAACACAAGACTTAATTTGCATTTGTAAAAGGAAATTTTTCACCAGTTTCATCGATTAATTCAGGTTAAACAGACAAGGCATTACGTGTTAAAACCTGCCAAACCGAATTTACGGCAGCAAACCTGAAGGACATTTTGCTCGTAATTGTCGCTCGGTGATGAATAGCACTGAATTTCCCAAGTTTGAGAAGCCAATCAGAAACCGCGAAAAACACTATCCACTGTTTTAGTATATACTTAAAACTAATGACGCATTTCTCCACTGCATACTCGAACAGATAAAAAAAAAATGATTCCGAAAGATGTTCAAAGTTTTCACTCTACGGTGGCTCTAGGTTCCACTTTATTTTCAGCATCTTATATCATTTTTTGGGATCTTTTTTGAGTGTATGTAGAGATTTAAAGGCTGTGGATGAGGTTTTTTGTTTTGAAAAGAAAAAAAAAACGTCTATTTTCGCGTTTTTATCAGTCACACTGTCTACTTACCTAAAAGTGTCGCAGAGATCCTGCTTGCTGCTACTGATCTGTTAGTGCGGTTAATATTAGCATTAGTCCATGCCAAAAGACGCGACATTTGCATAGACCCCGTAAGTGTTCGGAGCTGCACACCCTCTTCCCCAGCTGGTGATTCCTTCAAGGAACCACCTGCCGCTAAACTCACAGACCAATGATCCGCCACTGTCACCTTAACAGGCGTCCACGCCACCGAACCTGGTACCTGCGCATGTTAAAGAAGAAGTCTTTGTCCATTGTTTTACAAGACTATATTACGAAACTTGGCTGCTGACACAAAACGATTATTTGATCACGGCGAAAAATATTCACCAGCTTGTTATTTGATTCTTGCCCTAATACCGAGTTTTAATAGCTCGTCTTTTAATTCCCTGATCGAGCTTCGAGCTGCTTCCATTTCAATTTTTACTGGGACATCGATCCCACCGCCAACACGCCATCTTCCTCTTGGATCGTTGACATGGTCTCTTTTAGGGGTCAAAAAAAGCTTCGGCCACGCCCAGATCAGTCTCCTTTAGGGGTTTAATTCAAAATTTCCGACGAGCATCTCCACCCCTTTCATATGCGGAGTCCCCCCCGGAATTTTTTGGTCTGAAATAGGGTCAGGATTTGGAGAACCGGGCGGC